TATTTTTGTATTTTTTTATTTGTTTTATTATTTTATATTTATTTTATATAAAAATAATTTAACAATTTTTACACGAACAACTATCATCAAAACAAATACAATTTTACTTATTCCCTTCACTATCAATGCCCTCACTATTAATCCTTTCATTATGAATCTTCTCCATTCTACCTCTGAAAACAAATGAGGCCTTAAATCATGCGATTTAAATTAATCCAATCTATTTATTTATTTATTTTGAGGTCACGATTTTCTCCTGTTTAAATTGGATTCGACGGTGCAACATGCTCTAATTAGTATATCAACACTAGTTATGACATTATTATTAATCCCACTCATTATACAAATTACAAATACTAAAAACTTCTTAAATTATGTCACATCATCAATTATTACACTACTTGATACACTAATGGATACATATAACATTATTCAATTAGATTAGATGGTACTGTGGGCTCTTTGTGAGTTAATCACAGAATTCATATTGATAATCTAAACTATTTAATGTATAAAACTCATCAAGTATTTTATTCTTATAAAAATTACGTTTATCAAATATTAATAATTACTTGATTATATTATATTTATGCCAATAATAATTTTAATTTTTAAAATAAATTATTTACATAAATGTAACTAATATAATTTGTTACAAAAATAAAATAATTGATGAACTTTTTGTATATTGAACGACCGTGGTGAGAGAACGGAAATCCAACGGCACACTCCGATTGGGATAGCCAACTGCGAGAGGAGCTTGACGTGTTGACTGGGGGATGTTCACCTGGAACCTTCAAAGTTGAGGCTTCTATAAAGATCTACGACAACACACAACACAACACACAAGGCCTTACACTAATCGCCACGTGTACATTCTGCATACGTGGCTTCAATTTATTCGTCAGCTCAGTCCACGTAGATCTCCCACAACCGCACTTTATAAAACCCAACCTCTCTCCTGACTTTCATTTCTCAGACACAAATTTTCCCACCTGTTGAGAGAACCCCTGCTTTCTCAGCGAATTTTCCCGGAAAGTAGAGATCAATGCATGTCAGCGATAATTCGTGATTACACAGGGGCTTCATTGATGCTCTTCAGACGAAGCTCTGAAAAGTACGTGGTAGGGTTTGGATTCATTTGATTCCGATCCAGAAAAAATGTCATCGATCTTCTTCAGGTTAGGGTTACTACTCTCGATCCTCTTCTTTGTTGCGAAACCGTCCGAATCAGCGGTTTTCAGTGTAGATCTAGGCTCAGAATGGTTGAAAGTCGCCGCGGTGAATCTGAAACCAGGACAAAGTCCAATCTCGGTCGCGATTAACGAAATGTCGAAGCGAAAATCGCCGGCATTGGTCGCATTTCAAGGCGGCAACCGCTTGATCGGCGAAGAAGCTGCCGGACTCGTGGCGAGGTATCCCGATAAAGTATATTCCAATCTTCGAGATTTGATAGGAAAGCCCTATGATTATGTGAAGAAATTTCTCGATTCAATGTATTTGCCATTTGATGTTGTGGAAGATCCGAGAGGCGGTGCTGGGATTAGGGTTGATGGTGGTGCAATTTATTCGCCGGGGGAATTGGTGGCGATGGTATTGGGTTATGCTTTGCATTTGGCAGAGTTTCATTCCAAGGTTCCGATTAAGGACGCCGTGATTACAGTGCCACCATACTTCGGGCAGGTAGAGAGGAAGGGTTTGCTTCAGGCGGCTCAGTTGGCTGGGATTAATGTGCTTTCGCTGATCAATGAGCACTCAGGTGCGGCGTTGCAGTATGGGATTGATAAGGATTTCTCGAATGAGTCAAGGCATGTTATATTCTATGATATGGGTTCGAGTAGTACTTATGCTGCTCTTGTGTATTTCTCTGCGTATAATGCGAAGGAGTATGGGAAGACTGTCTCTGTCAACCAATTTCAGGTAATTCTGAGAATGTGTTACTGCTAATTTAGTTAATTATACACATGATGCACATATGAATTTTGGGAAATTATAAGTTGTTTAGCTTATCTGACTGAAAATTGGGTGTGTTAGCTATAATTCTTTACTATTGATTGGCCAATTTACAAATGGTTTAGTGTTTAAAACTCGAATCAGGGCATTTGGCCTAGTGGTTGTATAACACACAAATGAGGTCTTGGGTTCAACTTCTATGGAGAGGAGTTTGTACCCTTTGTGATGGTTTATTTTTGTCGCCCATTATGGTAGTTGTTGGGCTTAGCTTGGTGGGCTTGGTTTATTAGTTGTGTTAGGTTTGTTGACTTTCTAGCTATTGTGGGCTAGTAGTCTGTTTGATAATGTAATTATTTATTATATTTGTAATTACTCTCCTATCTATTGACAAAAAAAAAAAAAAAAAAATTGTGTAAAACTCAAGCAATTAACCTTTAGCTTTTGGGTTTGAACCTGAGGGCAGTTGAAGTAATGCCAAAAGTTAATTCTTACCCAAATTACACCCACCAAACCCATCCAATGGAGTAATTATCTTGTTTTCCTAGAATTCTATGTTGGTTGTGTGCTGCCCAATAGCAGGCTGAATGGTTACATGACCTGAAAAACAAAGAACATGGTGGAGAAATTGCAAAATATTATTGGATAGGCACATGGCGTTCCTGGAAGACTCGCCAATGGGACTAAATTGGTTGTGCTTTTTTATTGATTGGCCAATGTCAATGCGAACCTGTGTTTATTTTTGATATTCTCGGTAAGTTGTACAAAATCTATATTGTTCATGTTTGTAAGTAATGCATGGTGGTTGTAAATTTAATCTGTTAATTGATGCTTTTCAGTATAAGTTTAGAATGGGTACTTTGCACTGGTTTATATCTTTTGGTATTGGCTAAATCAGTTACTATTTGTTTATGTTGCAGTGTATTTTTAATTAGTTTCATTTCATAGCAAGAATTTTGGATTAGTAGGATCCTCATACCACATGTCATTTTTATACAAAAGACTATGCATTTCTGTTTAAGCTACAGAGTTGTAAAAATGCTTGATGGCAGTTGACTAAGCTTACAATTCTGTACATGCCAGCTAGTTAGTTAACCTTTGAAATTGTTGCAGGTCAAGGATGTTAGATGGGACCCACAACTTGGGGGTCAGGATATGGAATTAAAACCACAGATTTGGTTAAGTATATGTTATCTAGACCTATGTTGAGGGGAAGAATTGGCAAATGGGTATTAGCCTTGTCAGAATTTCATTTAGAATATGTTCCCCAAAAGGCAGTGAAAGGACAAGTTTTAGCCAATTTTTTGGTAGACCATCCATCTCAAATAGAGAGCCAAGAGATAATGGAACTTGGTATGGCTAGTGTTGAACTGTGGCAAATGTGGTTCGATGGATCGAAAGCCAATGGCCTAACTGGAATTGGTATAGTGATTAAGTCACCACAAGGAATAGAAACCACACATGGTTTCAGAGTGGATGAAACTACTTGTTCTAATAATCAAGCTGAATATGAAGCCTTGATGGTGGGATTGGAAATTCTTATTGGATTATAAGTACATGCAGTTGACATATTTGGAGATTCTCAATTGGTGGTTAATCAAGTGAAAGGGATTTTCAAATGTCAAAGTATAAGCATGTTGCCATACTATGTTGTTGCATTACATTTGCTCTCTCAATTTCAAATAGCAAATGTAACTCATGTCTCAAGATTCTTGAATAATAGAGCTAATGATGTGGCTCAGAAAGCTTCGAATTTCAAGAGGAGGGATAATACTCAAAAGGACATAAGCTAAACAACATACCAGAAATCTATACCACCCTTAAATAAAAGGAATGTGGTCCTGGAAGTCAATCATAATGACTTACAGAAACAAGATTGGAGGCATCCAACAATACAATACTTGGCTGGCCCATCCTTAAAGGCCAGTATAAAAATTAAATTTCAATCTATGCAATACATCATATATAACAATGATCTCTACAAAAGGGGGGGAGATGGTTTATTGTTGGAATGTTTAGGCCCAAAAAAAGTATTAACAGCTATGGCTGAAGTTCATGAAGGCATCTGTGGTGCTCATCAGCTTGGTGTAAAAATGAGATGGCTACTTCGAAGGCATTCCTACTATTGGCCAACTACCCTTAAAGACTGCATAGAATATGCCAAGGGTTGCCAGGCATGTCAAAAGCATGGCACAATAAGGCATGTGCCCATAACTGACCTTCATGCAGCAGTAAAGCCTTGGCCATTCAGAGGATGGGCCATGGATATGATGGGGAAAATACACCCACCTTCTTCGAAGCATCATTGTTTCATTTTAGTGGCTACTGATTACTTCACCAAGTAGGTCGAAGCTAAGCCATACAAGGCTGTAGACCAGACTGAGGTCATTGGGTTCATCAAGGATTTAATCCATAGGTCTGGCATCCCACAAACTATAACTGTTGATAATGAGACTGTGTTTGATGGAAAAATGGTGAGGTCTTTTGTGGCTGAGTTTGGAATTATTCTTGTTAATTCTACCCTCTATTATGCACAAGCCAACGACCATGCTGAATCATCCAATAAGTCCTTGAAGAAAGGAATACAAAAGGTTGTGGAAGACAATCCTAGGGATTGGCATAACTTATTATTAGATGTATTGTGGGCTTATAGAACTTCCCCAAGGTCAAGCACAGGAGTTACTCCTTATGCCTTGGTGTATGGGCATGATGCTGTATTGCCTGTGGAAATTAATGTTAAGTCTTTGAGGGTAAGATGCCAAGACCAGCTAGGTCATGAGCAATACCATCAGAGTATGTGCTTGGAATTAGAAGGAATAGATGAAGCCAGAATTCTGGCATTAAATAGCATTCTCTTTCAAAAGAAGAAAGCAGCCGAAATTTACAATAAGAAAGTCAAGCACATTGGCTTCGATGAAGGTGATTTGGTGTGGAAAACCATACTCCCAATAGGGATTAAAAGCCATAAGTTTGGCAAATGGTCACCTAACTGGGAGGGACCATACCAAATCCATAGAGTCCTTCCTTTTGGAGCAAACCATTTGAGAAATTTGAATGGAT